CAACCATGTACCCCCTGTATTTAGGGGACATCCACAAATTGGGGAAAACTGTGTGCATATTAATGATGTTAACTGTTAATCTAAGGGGAGGGGATGTAGGGGAGGTGACCACTGTGTGATTGGTTACTGTAGTAATTATGGAAGTTACCTCCCTTGCATGGGAAAAATGTATAAAAGCAGAAATGTGAATAAAGACCTCAGTTGACTCCCAGACTATGTGTCGTCTAGTCCTTGGGGAGGTGGATTATGCTGTGTTCCTGTGATTTTGTATGCTGAAACTTTGTTCCCAGCAGAGAGCTATTGGATTAACCCCTGCTACTCCGCTACAGGTATCATGATTGCTGACATTAAAATCCATTGTTTGAGTTTGATGCTGCCACTCAGTATGGCGGCCAAGCACCCCCCCTCACCCACCCTTCACATTTTTGTAAATATTTTATTATATCTTTTAATGTGACAACACTGAAGAAATGACTCTCTGCTGCAATGTAAAGTAATATGTGTACAGCCTGTACAACAGTGTAAATTTGCTGTCTTCTCAAAATAACTCAACACAGCCATTAACGTCTAAACCGCTGACAACACCCCTAAGTGGAAATGTCCAAATCGGGCCCAATTAACCATTTTCCCTCCATGGTGTCATGTGACTCGTTAGTGTTACAGGGTCTCAGGTGTAAATGGGGAGCAGGTGTGTTAAATTTGGTGTTATCGCTTTCACACTCTCTCATACTGGTCACTGGAAGTTCAACATGGCACCTCATGGCAAAGAACTCTAAGGAACTGAAAAAAAAGAATTTTTGCTCTACATAAAGATTGCCAAGACCCTAAAACTGAGCTGCAGCACGGTGGGAAGGACCATACAGCGGTTTCACAGGACAGGTTCCACTCAGAACAGGCCTTGCCATAGTCGACCAAAGAAGTTGACTGCACGTGTTTAGCGTCATATCCAGAGGTTGTCTTTGGGAAATAGATGTATGAGTGCTGCCAGCATTGCTGCAGAGGTTGAAGGGTTTGGGGGTCAGCCTGCCAGTGCAAAGACCATATGCCGCACACTGCATCAAATTGGTCTGCATGGCTGTTGGCCCAGAAGGAAGCCTCTTCTAAAGATGATGCACACGAAAGCCCGCTGAAGTTTGCTGAAGACAAGCAGACTAAGGACATGGATTACTGGAACCATTTCCTGTGGTCCAATGAGAACAAGATAAACTTATTTGGTTCAGATAGTGTCAAGCATGTGTGGCGGCAACCAGGTGAGGAGTACAAAGGCAAGTGTGTTGCACGTGTGCAGTCAGTAAGATTACTCTATAAATCTCATGAATCATCTGTTTCTGACCTGACTCACATTAATTTCACTTGTCCTATTAATATAAAATGTGCAGTAGTATATGACATTTTATGCTACCATCGTAACCTCTCTTGTTGTTCATGCCTATGTCAAAAAAAATAAAAATGTCTATGCAAGCTTTGTATGTCAACCCCTGCACAACTAAAATACAATATAATCCTGTTTATTTTCCTATATAAAAAAAGTGCAATATCTTTAATACCATGTGAATGCTAATCTGTTTGCGCAGGCTGTTGTGGCAGTGCATATTACATGTTCAATCTCTGCACGAACAAAATAAAGAATTTAAAAAAAAAATGTGAGGGTTGTACTCACTTTTGTGAGATACTGTACATAGATTTTGTATTTTGTATTTTGGATTTGTAGAGAGAGAAAGAAAGCAAGAAACATGCATGGATCTCTATATATATCTTGATTTTGAAATTGTAAAGGGAGAGAGAGATAGAAAATGAGATAAACATACAAAAACATTACTATTACTGGTATTATTACTGATATTTATATAGTGCCAGCATATTCCATAGCGCTTTACAATATTATCAAAGGGGGATATTTAACAATAAATAAGGCAATTACAAAAACTTACACAAACAATAGGTTGAAGAGGGCCCTGCTCAAACGAACTTACAGTCTAAAACACTCAATATCCAGCGCACTCAATCATGCACTAAACACCAACTTCAAATCTCTCTCTGTCTATCTCTGTCTATCTCTGTCTATCTCTATGAGTATATACGGACTAATGCAAATATGAAAGAATGAAGGAGTTTAAGCATGCGTGGGATATGCATAAGGCTATCCTAGCTATAAGACAAGGGACTAATGAAAGTATTTAGAAAATTGGGCAGACTAAATGGGCCGAATGGTTCTTATCTGCCGTCACATTCTATGTTTCTATGATTGGAGAAATGCTATTAATGTACAGTACTGTTTTCATATCTGTATCTTCATTATCTGGTAAATAGTTTTTTAAAAGCTTTTCTCCTCTACCAAAATTGTCTTTTTTTCTTTGGAGTAAATATTGTGCTATCTATGCATACTGAAACAAAAAATATATTTAAATATTACTTTCCAGAATGCCAAATTTACTCAGATTCAGGTTGTTTTTGCAATCCACTTGGTAGTGAAGGGGTGAAAAAAATGTGCAGTGTGCAGTTAAGCCTGACTGTTTTATTATGCAACTGTTAAACAGCATTTGTCCCCTATAAATTCTGAAGACTCTGCTGTAAATTGAACCAATAATCTCTTACCATTAAACCAATAAAATAATGCACAATAAAAAGAAAACAATATAACCGCCACCCCTGGTGCTAGCTAAAACTGTATTTACAGGGGGATTGATAGTACTGTATGCACGCAAAATAACTTTCCTTTTTAAGACATCACCAAAACAAACCATTCTCATTAAAAAATTTCTTAGATTTTTAAATTCATGCTTTACTTACTAATTACAATTTCATGGTTATATTGGCAATAATTAAGATATAATTAATCTCATTCTAATGTACTGCATTAATATTATTTTAATATAAAAACTTTTTTTTAATATGCCTTTAGCAGTATAAGAGCTTGTTTTATTAAATTTTACATATTAAGCTTGCATTAAGGTTCCAGCATACACATCCAGTAATATTTTCAGCATACACATCCAGTAATATTTTTCTATTAACTTTTTATTTATTTGAGCTCTCTATTTGGTTGAGTCTCAATGTAACTATACAAAGCACTATAGTGTTAGTTATATTTCCTGTAGTGACCTTAGCAGGCTTCAAATAAGTCCATGCTGGTAAATAAAGACAATAGATTATAACAAAAACAAAAACTAGTGTCAAAATCACAGAAAAGCTACTTTCTTCAGCAACAACCTGCCTCCTCTTCTTTCCTGCCTGCACATGGTATTTGTATTGCTATATGTTGTCCAATAATGTTATATTGACAAAAAAAATTGCTTAAATGTTTTTCTATGAAAAGCCTCTGATTGGATCGCATAAGACCTCATGCTGACGTATGGAGGAGGAGGGAGATCAGCATCGGGAGCTTCGCCTGGTGCTGGATTGCAGGTAAGTTTTAACTTTTTTTTAATTTCCAAGGGGGAGGACCTAATAGCATTGCCAACAGGTGCATTGTAAATCTAAGCAGGCTAATAGTGACAACGGGTTGGAGTAACACTGTAACCTTATTACACCCATCTGGCTGTTAATCAGACTCAACAGACAGGCAGTTGCTAGAGTACCTGCCTTGCAAAGACTTTTCATTGTGGTATCCATTGGGTGGTCTGGGATTTGACAGCCACAGAAAGTCTGGGCAGGGTTAGAAGAGGAGGACTTAGGATTGCAAAGGCTTCAGACAAGAACAACTTTTGCAACCTGTTTCTAGATACCTTTAATGAAAGAAATACATCATTAAATGCACGCACGTTTTCATTGGACGTATCTACTAAACTGTGATTTTTTTTTATTTGTACAGTGGAGTGTTCTTTAAGTTGGAAGTTACTTGATTTAGAGACAGACTGGATGAGGGAAGAAAAAGTAAGCCCTGAATCTAAAGTGATTCCAAGGCTTGAAATTTGGAGTTTGGAGTATGGGTGTTTCTTTGATATGCAGGGAGATTGACAGAGTTAGAATATCTGAAGGAGGAAAGATGTAATAAAAACATTTTGCACATTGGCTTGGAATATTGTTTGCCCATTCTTCATGGCCAAATTATTCCAGGTGGTTCAGGTTAGGTTGTTGAATTGAAATTGTCCTTTAATAGGATTAAGGTTGCTATTTTGACTGGGCTCTGTAGGATATTCATGTTTATGACCTTTAACAATTTAAAGGTTGCTTTTGCCTTATACTTCAGATCATAGTCCTGTTGAAAAGGGAACTTTCAGAGACTAAAAAGGTTATCCTGCAATATTTCCCATATTTTGCTCCATACATTCTTCCTCAATTCTTACAAGATTCCGAGGTCTTGCTGATAACGGATCCCGTATACTCTGACTGAGTATATCCGTGAAGAGTCTCCCAAAATCCAAGCATAGAAGAGGTTGTAGTGATTATAGCTCCCAATCCCCCAAACATGAGCCAAGACTTCATGAAGGGGTAAAACGATGTGTTTAACCCCTTAAGGACCAAACTTCTGGAATAAAAGGGAATCATGACAAGTCACACAGGTCATGTGTCCTTAAGGGGTTAATGGTTGCCACAACTGGCCTTTTATGCAAGTCCCCACTGGACCTGAGAGTCGACCGCAGTACAAACAATCACACAATGGCATTCGCTCTCAGGTCCAGGACACTCTCACATTAAATAGGATAATCTCTCCTCTGCACCTGGCAGATAATTGGGTAAAGTACTGTATTTAACTCAATTATCTCCAGGTACAGAAGACATTTATTTTTACCAAAACTCCAAAAATACTTTAAAATACATAAAATCATATTTCACATAACCAAACCCCCATAGTCTATACATCCCCAGATAGCCTGGATCTGAGCGCCCAACATATCCGAAAAGCATCAGAGCCCAAGAACATAGTCGAATCACCGCTGAGGGGAAGATTTGACCGACCACTATTGAGACGTCTGCCCAAAATAGTTCTATAGTTTCAGAGGTAGCGGTCAGTCAAGTTCGAAAGTCATAAACTGAGCGAAAAGGCGAACCGGTCCCCGGGCTCATGGGTAGTGTTTGTTCATGAGATCCAGTCGAACAAACCTACCAAACAGCACTCTCCTGGCTTGCCGCAAACCGAAGCAGGCCTCCGTATGGTTTAACCGGTGTTCGGGCAGTCGAGTGTCCACCTCTGAGCTCCAGGCACTCGACGACTAAGTCCCGCTGCCTGCTTTCGTACGACAAGATGGCCACTGTTTTCTCCACCACGTGGCGTTCGGCAGCCACACAAAGAGTACTTAAGAGTACTTAATTCTTGTTGTTTTTTTAAACTTAATGAGCCAGGTGGGTGGTTGGCGTTCAGTACTTAGTATTCTCAAATGGTAGCAGAATAAGGGAAACAAATATTAAGTAAATGGGCGAACTGAGTTGGAGAATGACTCTGGGGAAGGCAAAATCGGGGTTTTGTCACATACCATAGCATGATGCTCATACTACCATAGTCTATTGTAGTCAGATTATTCATGAATTTTATGGTTTGATTTGTGTTCAGAAATACTCCATCTTGGTCTTATCTGACCGCAAAACATTTTGTAAAATCTTAGCAGTCAGTCTCATACTTTTTAGCAAATGCCAAACATGCTTTTATAAAGCTTGTTTTGATTAATGACTTCCTCTTGCCACCCCTTTTACAGTCTTAGCTACTGATGATTGATCCAAAAGTTCCCAGACTTTTCCTGATTTCCTACCTCTCTCTTACTGCTGTAAAATGCTTGTTCTTGCTCACAGTCACAGCTTTCCTTCAGATCTGTACGCTGAGTTACATAATTACATAGTTACATAGCTGAAAAGAGACTTGCATCCATTAAGTTCAGCCTTCCTCACATTTGTTTTTGCTGTTGATCCAAAAGAAGGCCAAAGAAACCCAGTTTGAAGCACTTCAATTTTGCAACAAAGTAGGAAAAAAATTCCTTCAAGTATGCATCTAGTTGCTGTTTGAACATCTGTATGGACTCTGATAACACCACTTCTTCAGGCAGAGAATTCCACATCCTTATTGTTCTTACAGTTAAAAAATAAAAACTTTTGCTTTAGATGAAATCTTCTTTCTTCCTCTAAACGCATGACCTCATGTCCTATGTAAAGTTCAGTTTGTGAATAGATTTCCACACAATGGTTTGTATTGGCCCCAACTATATTTGTATAATGTTATCATATCCCCTCTCAGGCAACATTTTTCCAGTGCCATAATATCCTCATTTAGAACAGGTGCCCAAAATTGCACAGCATATTCAATGTGGTCTTACCAGTGATTTATAAAGAGGCAAAATTATATTCTCATCCCGACAACGAATGCCCTTTTTCTTGCATGACAATACCTTACTTTAAGCCGAAGTGAATAACTTTGCATTTTTCAACATTACATTTCATCTGTCATTTGAGTGCCCAGTCCCCCAGTTTATCTAAATCCCTCTGCAGCAAAGTAATATCTTGCTAATATTGTATTACTTAACTGAGTTTTGTGTCATCTGCAAACACTGAAACATGACTTTCAATGCTTTTTGCAAGATCATTTATAAAAATGTTAAATAGAAGGGGTCCCAGAATAGAACCCTAAAGGACACCACTTGCCACCTCCGTCCAGCTTGAAAATTTATCATTAATGACAACTCTTTGTACTCTATTTTTAAGCCAATGTTCTACCCAAGAACAAGCATTTTCATCTAGACCGATTTCTTTGAGTCTGAACACTAATCTATTGTGTGGAACTGTATCAAATGCCTTGGCAAAATCCAAATAGATCACATCCACTGCAACATCTTAACTTCTACTTACTTCTTCGTAGAACGCAATCAAGTTAGTTTTACATGACCTGTGCTTCATAAAACCATACTGATTTTTGCTGATAACAATGTTCAAGGAATTCTTGAATATTATCCCTTAATAACCTTTCAAATTCTTTTCCAGCCATAGAGGTTAAGGTCACAGGTCTATAATTTCCAGGCAAGGATTTTGAACCCTTTTTGAATATAGGAACCACATCTGCCTTCCTCCAATCCTTTGGAACACTTCCTGAAAGAAAAGAATCTTGAAAGATTAAAAACAGAGGTTCACTTATTTCTACACTTATTTCCTTCAGTACTTGTGGATTAATACTGTAAGGCCTTGGAACTTTGTTTATATTAGCTTTCTTTAGTTGCTGCAGCATCTTTTCTTGATTTAACCAATTACAATTTTTCTGCAAGTTTTTAGCAGCAATCATTTGCACATCTATTGCTATGGGTTCTTCCTTAATATATACGGAGGAGAAATAGTTATTTAAAATTTAGTGTACTGTATCTCATTTTAGTGTGTCTTATCTCCCTTACTGTGTCTCTTATCACTCATGTGCCTGATATTCCCTCCTTGTATCTTACTTCCCTCTATTTGTGTCTGCTAACTGCCTTGTGCTTCCCACCTTGTCTCATGCAGTTCCCTGTCAAACGGGGAGAGGACAAAGAAGATCATCTATTGGGGTCCACAATGTCAGGCTACACTGGAACGTCCCGTGGTAGCAGAGAACTCTGTTCACACACCCCTGCCTGTCATCCAGATATTGCATTACGCAGCCCAGGACGGTCTAAGGCTGTCAAGATTTATTATACCAAAACAAAAAACAAAAATACCTTTTACCAAAGTAGACTGTATAAATTAGTAGATAAAATAAAAATTTTAATAAATCTGGAGAAATCTGTGTACCCATATGGAATAAGAAAATGTTTTATATATTTAATAAAAAAATAAACCTGCTTTAATATGTATTATTCACTATTTTCTAGATCAAAACTGGCAATGGAAATAAACGAAAGGGGCATTTATCCAGTGTAGATTGCTAATTATGTTACCACTGCATTGGCACATTGTTTCTAGTGCTACTAGTTCTTGTTTAAAGGGAAACTATAATTTTAAAAATGTATTATTTAAATCAATCCTTTGAAATGTTGTGACCTCCCATTCCCCCCTTTTTGTTTAAAAGGTAACTAAAAATGTATATGTATCTATATATGTATGAACGGTTGTTCTATGAGCCCCAAGTTTAATTAAGGTGCCCTGACAAATGATCTTCCTCGGGATTAAACATTATGTGCCCCCTATTTATTATCTCATCTTTCCCAACCCCCTCTATATCATTGCCCATTAGTGGGGGCTGGGTGTGACTCTAAAAAGACCCCTTATTTTTAAATTAATAGAGACCCCACCCACTAGACACAAGGTGAGGGGCAGAGTTGGGGACAGTGACCTATCCACACCCCATTAATTAATTTTTACCCCACGTCCAGTAGGACACTGGGGGCACCTGTGCCAGGTCACTTCCTGCATTTTATTAGTGATAATTATTGGTTTCTGACAAGCCTTTAAATGTGTGTGTGTATTTAATTGATCAGAATTGATCAGAATTGATAAATTACTTGTCAGGAGCCGATAAACACCCGATGAAGACCATAATTTAATCAAAGAATTATGTTTATAGAGAGCGCAAAGTTTTTATAGTGTAATGGATTTTTTACTAGTGCTTGAAATATAATTTATCCACAAAAAGCAATAGATATTAAAGCTGCTAAATACTTAAAAACCTTCCCAGGAGTTTTAAAACATCAAATTGACATAAAAAATAAAAAATTATTAGTATCAGCGCTTAGTCGATATACCCCTATATATCTTATAGGGATCAACTCAAAAAATGAAACAAAAGAGTTCCAAATACAGTCTTAATGTGGGGGTTTTCAGAAATCCGTAGAGATTTTGATAGTAGTAACCGTAGTTCTTAATCTTTGTATGTATCCAACCTTTAAAAAAAGGATACTAACATAGCGTAATATAGTTACAAATTTATTCCCATACGAAAAAACCCCCCATAAGAGGAACTCTTACAGTGTGATATAGTGAAACTTATTTCTAAGCTTCACATTAAAACATTAGTAGTACAGAGTGTTCGTTGATAGGTAAATGGTTACCGCTCCGTAGATGTTGAATTCTGGACCGGTCCTGTGCACACGGATCCGTCCTGCCGGAACGCCAAATCACCGATGCTGTTCTGCACACTCCTCAAATTCAAAAAACCCGCCAAAGGCACGATCTACGCGTTTCGCTCGGTTCCACGAGCTTTCTCAAGATGCAGTGTTTGGGGGGTCGTGTGTTCAATATAAACGGTCATTCACTTATTCAATTACTCAATTAAGAATTCCATAAATTTTTTTACATCTCCATATCCTATGATCATTAACAACTTAACATTCATCAATTTAAATTATGTAGTTATTATAACATGAATCAATTCCTATGAATAAAAGATAATCAATTCTAACAGATAGTTTTAGCAGATAATATCCATCAGTAGCAAGCAGATGTAAATTCCGTTTTTCTGCTTGTTATATAAATATAATACACTTCATAATTAATGTTTCTTAAGCTTCCAGTAGCAAAATCATCAATTAGAACCTTGGAATAATAAATTTAGTTTGCAAACAAAATAAATTGTGTATGATGGAACATAATCAAAATTTACACAAACCCTTCTGCCTGACATTAACAGCTAAGTCCTGATTTTACATACACTCTAAAAAATGGTGATTAATAATGTTGTTTTCTTCTTCCCTTATTATTTAGGGTCTGAATACTAGATAGGACTCTTTATGTCTGTGTTAATCTTGACAACAAAAGTGTATATAAATACCTTTATGATACTGCTTAAAGGTATCATAAAGGTGTATATAAACACCTTTATGATACTGCTTAAAGGTGCAGGCGTTATTTTATATAGTCAGGTCTGTCTGATAGTTCCAAATTAGATGAGTATTTTTAGTGAATGTTTTTTTTGATAAAAAACTTTAAAAGCCTATTGTATTATTAAAATTATAAAACATGGGCTATTTCCACTTCAGCATTAAGTCCAAATGGGGACAGGGTTTTTAATGTATAGATCCAATAGGTTTCCCTATGGATCAAACTTTTAATTAAATCTCCCCCTCTCCAAGGGACTTTAATGCTTTGAATTCCACAATAAGATAATGATGTTGGATTACTATTGTGGTATATTTTAAAATGCTCTGACAGTGAATGCTTATCAAATTTTCTATTAATATTATATACATGTTCTCCCAATCTAGTTTTAAGCATACGTTTCGTTTGTCCTACGTACTGCAGGCCACATGTACAACCTAATAAATAAATAATCTGTTTGGAATTGCACGTTATGCATTCCTTAATTTTGTAATTCTTTTTAGTGGTTGTAGATGAGAATTCTGAAATTGCCCCAAAAGGTG